CCCTACACTCTGCTTCAGCTTTTACTTCTTGTTACCTATTTTTATCTTTCCATCATCGGCCTGGTGTCTTTGTGAGTGATGGTTTGAAACAGTTTTCCACACTCAAACCAATCATCTGTTGGGTTTCATCTATCTGTTTTTTTAAAGCCCAGTTTCTTTTTGATGTCTGCTGTTGAATTCTGGACTCTCCAGATTATTGTCATTATACATCATTCATACTATTATGCTTTGTATTTCTGAAGCATTCTTTTCAACAGCCCTTTTGCATGTGCCTTTAAAAGTGTTTTCGTCAAATTATGTCAGACTTTCTTTGGAGCATAAATATTGCTTTGCTTAAAGGTTTATCAAGTGCTATTCCAAACCATCTGTATGTACAATTTTCCATACACAATAAAATTTTCCATTCCCACTTGCACAGTTGGTGTAAATGAGGGAAGAGTGTCTGGGGTGGGGGAGACCGTGGCAGTAGGAGAGGAGTTAAATGAGCTTCCCTCTTTCTAGTCTGCACTATACTGTTACCAGTTCCATTGCTTGTGCTGCATATCAGCCATCTACTTAGAGTTGTTCTTGCTATTCTTGAGATAAACTTCTTGTGTGTGTGATCTTTAAATCAGAGGAATTGGGGAGTGATGAAGACGACATTGATGAAGATGGTCAAGAATATCTAGAACTTCTAGCAAAACAGGCGGGTGAAGATGGAGATGATGAAGACTGGGAAGAAGATGATGCTGAAGAGACTGCTTTGGAAGGCTATTCCACAATTATTGATGATGAAGATAACCCTATTGATGAATATCAGATATTTAAAACAATTTTTCAGAGTAAGTAACTTTATTTCCTTTCCTGGCCACAAGTTACATTTTAACTTAATTTTAATGTATACCATTGTAAACTAGAACCTGTTGAAAGCTTCCAAATAGGCTTTCCAATATACGCTTTGAACAAGTTCTTTCTTTGGAAAGGGGAAGCCAACATTAAGCTTTCAGAACAGTGGGGAAATGCTTGCATGAATCTATAGTGGGAGGGAAGAGGTCAGAGGTTGTATTAGTGTTTTTAAATGCCTTGAATTATGTAACCCTAACAGAATATTATTCTAATTAAAATGGTAGTGAGTTAGTAAGCTTTGAGTTACAGAATGTTTAAATGAACACTTTTGCTTATATTTTTTTTCCTCCTGCAGCAATTCAGAATCGTAATCCTGTGTGGTACCAAGCTTTGACACAGGGTCTTAATGAAGAACAAAGAAAACAATTGCAGGACATAGCAACTCTAGCAGATCAGAGGCGGGCAGCACATGGTATTTTTCCCCTTTTATACCATTAATTGCTTCTTTCACTGTTTGAATGCTTTTTATGTGCTCAAGAAGCAAAATACAGAAAATGCCTGTAATTCAAGCCTGGTAATGTCTTCATGAAAGCAGGGTTGTTTCACACTCCAGAGATGTTTGAAATCTCTTTAAATTGTCAGGTCACAAAGCCTCAATGCACAAATTGTATGCCATACCACAGGTGTAAGGAATGATAGAAATGTCTAAATGAAGTGAATTTTAAGTAAATAAAAGCATATTTGTCATAACTGCTTGGATTTGAAAACAGTTGATTTGATGACCTGAAGGTGGTTGAACTCTTAAGTATGGCAACACACACATTCAGTGGCTGACAAATTGTTTCCTGATGTGACCTAGTCCACCTGGGATAGACAGTGATTCTATGGATGGGAAAATGGCAAATTATGGAAGTAGTATCCATCTGTAAAGCTACATTTTTAAGCCTATTAAATACTCTAGATTGTTCTTCAATACAAATACCGGTTTAAAAATACAGGAAGTGGGCACATCTCCAGTTTCTTTCTTTGTGTGCAAATTTTCCCAGGTGTTTGAGAGTAAGCCAATATGTATCACTCTAAAGTCAAGGTTGAATTTTGAGTGATCAGTCCAGTCTCACATCCTGCATCTCATTGAGCAATTACTACAAAATGTTTCAAAATAGAAGTTCAGAAATGTTTCATCAAAAAGATTAGTAGTAAGAATGCACATTTTTTAAGTAGGTTTTGTCAGAAAACAGCCTAAATTACCTCACAAAGCTTGTAAGTGTCCCAAATGGTCCACTTTTAATGGTTATAAAATACAGTTTCACTATGACCCCTGTCAAGTAGTAGACATCATACTGATGAGCTTATATACTAGTAGTGCATTTTATGAAAAAGAACGTTTTTTTGTTTTGGTTTGGTTTTTTTCCCCGGCTGCTTATTCATAGAGCAAGTTAAATTCAGATTTTGAAGTTTAACTTAAGCAACTAGATCCTTACAGAAAATTCTTGTGTACTGTCAGACCATACTGATAGTCCGTTTAGGCTACCTATCACACATGGGGACATCTTGTTAAAAGAATTTGGAATATAATTATCACACTAACGTAGCTAAGAAGAATTTCCATAAGCTAAGAGATTTGTCTTCTGTGCACTATGGAGCCACAAGAGAACAAAGTGATGCTCCCCAGGTGATGTTCTCCTTTATCAGCCATGGCAACATTTTTCTGGCCTATTTCCAAAGAAACAGACAAAATGCAGATCCTCTAGATAATATGAACTGTCCTATATTCCCAGAAAGTGAAAGATTGCAACTATGTTGAGGTAGGAGAAAGCTGTTAGGCTGGAAATAAAACATTAATAAGTGTTGTTACCTTGAGCTGGGAATAATATAAACCTTCTTCTGCATTATCTACATTGTAGTAAGGGTAGACAGAAATACACATTTCTATCTGCTCTTTACCAACCTAATTTTCAGTTGTCCATGTATTAGACCTTGTAAAAATCAGTCTTGGAGTAATCTTTAAAGGATGGAATATGCAGCTAGTAAAACCAGACAGTTTAACTATCACTGTTAGTTACAGTGATGGATATGTGGACCTCAGATGCCTAAAGATCTTAAGGTTTAGTTGAAAATGAAAAGTAATAAATTCAGTAGTTTTCTCTCAAAGAATTGTATTGTATGGTCTAGCAACCTGAACTCCAAATTATCTGCCTGGCTGTCGAGGGGAAATGAGTGCATACTAAAAAGGCTGTTCCTGGTGCTTCAGTAGCTATTTCTGCTTATACTGTGGAATTGACATAGGAAGACTGCAAACTTGGTTAATATCTGTGTACTACTTTTTTGTACATGTGCTCTGTTATTGATTTGACTTAAAAGTCTATTAACGTTAATCAGAAAGAATTGGGTGCCTGTTACCAAGTTCAGAAGTCCAGCATTCATTCAGGTCCTGTTTCTGAAATGTGAAAATGACAAACACATGTCCAGAAGCTAAAGTGTGGGCTTTTTAAAATATAAATAAATTTAAGCATAGCTGTAACAATATTGAGAAATTAAAATAAATAATCAGTCCATCTGTTGTTTGGGGCCTGGCACATTTCCATTTTGTGGGTGCTGATTACTTTCTTGGGTAACCCCAGGTTAAACCTGTATCTCTGAGAGACTCAAAATGGTCAGTCACAAAATCTTAAATCTGTCTTCCCCCCTACACATGCACTAAAATATCTTCCTTCTGTGTTTTTTGTTTTGTTTTAGAATCCAAAATGATTGAAAAGCATGGAGGATACAAATTCAATGCTCCAGTTGTGCCAACTTCATTTAATTTTGGAGGCCCTGCCCCAGGAATGAATTGAATTATCACTTTTCCTGCTACTGTGTGATTGTAGTGAAGAGCTTGTGTTCCTCCCAATAGTGGTTCCAGAACTGGTTCATGTTATCTACAACTCACTCTAATTGATAAATAGATTGGACAAAAGCCCCAGAAGCGGGACCTGATCATGCAACCTAATACTGGAAAGCAAACCAGAGGTTTTTTTGAAGATAGGAAGAATCTGAATTTAAAGCTTCAAATGACACACTTTGGAAATCGGAAATCAAGAGGGGATGTCATGAAGGCAGCTTTTCTTTTTCTGAGGAAAAAAAAAAAAATAGGCATGGGCTGCAGGACTATTTAAAATGTCTCGTTTACAGGAAAAGCTAGAAGGCAGACTTAATTTTTACACCTGTGGCAGTATGAGTATTTGCCCAATTTATTTCCCTTTTCTCCCTTCCTATTGGGTGTCTATTCTTTTACTGTAAATAAGATAAGGTAATCAGATAGCCTTACTTAATCTTCATCATTTCCATTTATCAAGATTGTTCATATGTAGAATATTGGACACTTAATGTAGCACTACATAACTGATAAATCTGTAAATGAATTAGCACTTTCATATTGAAACAAGCCTGCTAGCCTATGTACAAAAATAGCAAAATGTTTGCTGTTTATAAAAAATAAAAATAAAAAATAAGGGATGTATTGGGGAAAATAATTTCAAGTTATTAATTTAAAATGAACTAGCAGTTTTGTACCTGGTGACTTTGTGGTGCAGTCACCTCTGGTTGTGACTTGAATTCGGTTATGTAAAAAGGGGTTAGTGATATTTCATTGCTGCTAAAAAAAAAAACCAACCAAACACCCTCCGTGTCCTTTGTTTTTCTTAAAGATCTCACTGTACAAGGTGAAATTTGGATACAAATGTGTACTGTAAACACTGAGGAAAAACTTATGTATTCTAAAGCAGGTAAATAAGATGTGAAGTTCTGCTCTTAAGAGTTGACTGAGGTGTGTGGATGAAACATCTATATATGCAATCTATTAAAAACCACAACAATTTGGCTAATTTGGGCCATGATCCATGAATGCAATTTTCCCCTAATTTTGCAAAATACTCTTTTTCTAGCATGTGGTAGTGCAGATGCGCTACTCTTGCATTTCATTCCCCCTCTTTTTGCACTCCCAGCATTAGTCTATGCTGTTGTCTGCCTCATCCAGACAGTGTATTTGAAGTTTTGCCAATCTTTCATTTTTTGAAGCCACAATTTTCTTCCTTCAAAGTTGCTATAGTAACTAGTATTTTAGCTAGAGGCAAAATACAGTTCCCTCTGGGACCACTATCAAAACCACTGTATGAAGAAGCCAGCAGGGAGATGCTGTGAAGGGGTTGGCTTAAATGCCCCCTTTTTCCTTTCTAAAAGCAAAAATCCATAGGTTTTTGATCTTGCCTTGAGATCATTGGTGTCAGGTCTTATAAATCAATTGTTTGTTTGTTGTTTTTTTTTTTTCTTTTGGCTGTTTTATAAAAATGTCACCTGCTGTTACAATTGATATTAAACAAGCTACCTTAATTTAATGTAAGCCTCCAAAATTTAAATACAGGTTAAAAAATAAACTGAGTTTATATCTGTAAAAATGAAATGCACATATATATATTATGATACTCAAAATGCAGTCTTCAGAAAATTGGTTTGTGTGGTGTGGTTTTTTGCATGAGCAGAGTAGCAGGAATTCATGGTTTGGGGTTTCCTTGACAAGCCGACCAGCACCATGCTCTGCCTTCCATTTATTGCACAGCCACTAGTGCTTCTCTGGGCAGGTGTAATGGGTGTTTTCCAGTCACTCCTCTCTGGTCTGCCTTTCTTCAGCAAATACAATTCCCTGCACACAGAGTGCTAATGTGAGAGACTGAACCAGGACTCTAATGCCACGTTGCCCTAGCCAAATACCAAAGGGATACTTTCAAAGCAAACTGTGGACTTAAAAGAATGGACATTGCACCTGATGTGGAAAAGCCTAAAAAATTAAGCCTTGAGTCAGAGTATCCGTTATAGTAGTGGTATGAGAACCACAGTAGTACTTTTGAATCTTTAGCTGACTGGCCAAGTACATGTAACAGAACTGGGGGTTTTTTGTAAATGTGTAACTCCTGAGCACGTATAGGTGTACTCTGGCCTCAAGATAATCTTTAGACAAGGTTTTATTTTTGTAGAAAAAGGTGACAGACATAATGACAGCATGCCTTTTCCTGTGTGTTCCTTGACCTTGAAAAATGCCCAGTTTGACATAAATAGTCTGAACATCTGCTTGTTAGGTATCTGCTTATCTTGTTACTCATCCCCCCAAAAAGTAAGAACTTTTTAGGACAGATAAGAAGCTTTTTGCCTCGTGGCGGAAGATATGACAGAGCAGCAGTGAGAGGGCTCTGTATACAAAGCAGATGAAAAAAAAAAAGAGGGGAAAATCGCCCATTTAGTGCCACTGTCATTTCTGGAACAATTATATTTTTCAAGTTACGAGTCAAGGGAAGAATTTTATCTTGGTGTGAGGAATACCGTCTTACTTCAAGGGTGCTTTTATGTGTCGCTAGACTGGTTAGCAAGGAGCATCTTTTTAAAGAATGGATCTAGAACTTTGCTTTCCTTTGCTCCAAGACATGTATTTATATAAATTGCAAAACAATTTTGCATTGTTGTTGGTGGTGATAGTGCATTTTGTGATGCAATATATCAATTTCAGTGATACACTTATGTCAAATTTAAAATTGATCTTCCTCCTAGACCTTGCACTTACCCATTCCATTTTCAAGGATAATGCAACTCTAAAGGAAGAGCTGGGAAATTTAAAGCCTCTGTTTTTAATATTCTGGAAGATCTCCTTGGATTAATAAACATCTAAAGCAAATCCTTATCTTCACTTATTTCAGTGTGGTGTTTTGAATGTAGCTGTATTCTTACAGTATTTGGGAGTCCTGATCTAGTTATGTAGCTCTTAAGGTTTGTATTTTCCTCCTTCAAGTATTTCTTCAAGCAGAAATGTTAGGCACAACCACAATTCTCTTAACTGTGTTAAATATAAAAGGCTTACATTATTTTTTAAAACATTGACATAATTCGGTAAATTTAGTGCCCTTTTTACCTAAATTGCTATCTGTAAAGAATTACTAACAGGTGTCAGTGCAGTACAGCAAAATTCAAATCTCTTGTAGCCTAGAATTACAACTGCAAGATTCAGAGGTCTGCAGTGGATTAATTACAGAATGCCCGAAAATAAACATGCACATGGTTTTAATTGTGCTTGGAAATTGATACCTCATAAGTTTTATGGGTTCAGTTGTATTTTTCTAAAGGTGATTTCCCTCCTCTTGCAACTACGAGTTCTCAAAGAGTAGAAACATAATGAAGCTTTTCAGCACAGCTTGTATTTCTGTCAAGTTCCCTTTCAGTCCTTCCTCATACCTACTTTTTCTTGCTAACCGTTTTCACTTCCTGGACCTGAATTTGTTGCCCATAACTCCCTTGAGATGCTGCTCAGCAACTGTAAGCGCTTTGTACTTAAGCAGTTTGTACTGTAGGCAGTCATGCCCCTGCTGATGCTCTCTGTGTCTGTAAACAGCAAGATACATGGCTGCATTCTCCTTCTCTGGAGTTTCAGCAATGGGACTGATGCTCGCTGATGGCTCCTCAGTGGGTGCTGCAGGCTCCCAGGGGAAGGGACATGGTTCCAAACTCAGTATTAGTGGTAGACCCAGCATTGTCTATGTATGGGCTTTGATATAACTGATGCGGCCAAGTTCAGGTAATGCTGGTCCAAACTTGGTGTGTTGGTTAAGACTTACCAGTTTTCCATAACCTGGGCTACTAGTTAAGTTTTTTTCTCTGGAACATCATCAGCAGTGGATGAACAATGCTTCTGAAAATCTATGCAGAAATGCACATTTGGTTTATTTCAAAAAATGTAGCTGGGAAGAGCACTACAGTTATGCGTTTCTGCTCAATCCACTATTGAAGGTTTTAACCTGAATGCGGTAGTAGAAGAAACAAGGTTTATCAAAATTTGAGAAAAGCTTGGAAGGTTCAAGGCTTTCCATATTATGCTGTTACGGACTATAAAAAGCCAGAGTTGAGTCCCTTGAGCTGCGTTTTTCCCTTCCCTGTGCTCTGTGGGACCTTCCACATACCCACAACCAGGAATGTGGAAAAGCTTAATTTGTCTAGTGTTGCGGCGCTGATTATAAATTACTTTGCAATCAGTATGTGGCTTATTTAAGTGGTGTCATTGGTTTGCATTATTTCTGCTTTTTATAACTCTACATTCTCAGATGTTGATGCTAGAAACAGAAAGCACTTCAGAATGGGAAACACCAAGTTGTAGGATTTGACAGAGATGTCAACAAGTAACCTATTAAGGAGTTGGTAAACCCAAACCAGAATTTTATCTTGGGTATGTCACTGTAACTCAAGCTGATGGCTGTCATTTGCATTTTTGGTGAAGGTTTCCCATTAAGAAGTGGGAAATAAACTTGAAACCAAGAAAGGAAAATTGCTCTGTATTAGGCCTATTCAGGAACAATCTATTTTTGCTGTTTGAGTGCAAGAATTTACAACTATTATTCTGGAATTGCAGGCAAAAAAATCTTAAATGCTTTTATATGTCATGTTCAGAAAGGTCAAGTAAGCCCTACAGAGCTGGACACATTGTCCTGTCAATGGTGATAGCTCATCTTCATTGCACAGTTGGGTTTTCCTGAAAAATCGTCTACCAAAGTAACTGTAATAACCTTTAACTGCCTGTGGAGCTGTTGTTGGACGGCTCTGCTTCCATACCAAAAAGATCACCTAACGATAAATACCCTCAAGCATAACTTTAAGAAGTCCTTATCCACAAGATCTGGGCTGAAATGGCAGCAGAAGATAACAAGGCTGGTGAAGGGCAGGGTGCTCGCTCCCCCTAGCCCTGCCAGCACACCCTGCCCAGAGCAGCCCCTCCGCAAGGGCACCGCGCTCCGGCACCCTTCCAGCGACCTTCCTTCCCTCCGGCTCCTGCACCGGTAAGGGACGGAGGCGCGGGCCCGCCGCCTCCGCGGGGACAGCGGCGCCCCGGGCCCAGCAGGACGTACCGGGGCCATCTATGGGGGCCGCGACGGCGAGGCCAAAGCCCGC